CCCCACTGTCTTCATTGGGTTAGGAATATTCCAAGCAGACACTGTCTCAGCTGTAACTTCTAGGCGGTTAGGCCCCAAGCGGGTAGGACATGTTATTTTATTTCGTTCGGGCGGCGTAGCCGCCCGAACCCAAGCATTACTGTCTATACATCCTGTTATCCACATGGGTTATTAATGGTTATTAATTTAATGGATTACGCGTTTATTATACAAGATACGACAAAAGTGTATCAAACCTTATTTGTAGAGGATTTTCCGCTCTGCATTTTTTGTTTGAAACATTTTTCATACGATTTGCATTTTTCGAAATAAATACAAAAAACTAAAAAAAATTACGTTTTTTCGATGTTTTTTCGAAATTGCGGCCAAGATACGGCCGAGCGCCAATTTCTGCTGTCATATTTGTTTTCAGGAGCCAAAAATACATCAAAAACACGTGGTCGTTTGTTTCGTTTCGAATATGCAGCTCATCCGAAGGTTTACCGTCCATCAATACATTCAATTATATGTGTATAATGAAAAATGTCAACCAATAAGAAATAGGAATTAAAGCCATAACGGTCGAAGTTGGAACTTTGATGCTTAAATAATTCAATGTCAATTATATATAAACACAGTTGCTTATTTAAAAAATTATCCATTTTGCATACATATTTTTTTAAAGCAACTATGTATTTTCTTTCCACTAATTGATTCATCTCATTATTCTGTTCATAAAAGTATTAAGGTACGATTATCAAAAAATTAATAAATTACGAGTTATTTAATATTTTATGCCAATACGTGCCACAATGAAATATAAAATATTTCGTAAACAATTGGTTTTTTGATATCGCTACCTTAATACTTTTATATGCATAATAATTAGAGGAATCATATTATGTAAAAAAATTCATATAATTCCATTTAAAAAAATGACCTTGACCTTCAAATAACCTTAAAAATCGACCTGAAGGTCAAAATCATTAACACAGATAAATGACCCTCATTGTCTTGAACAAGTTTTGTCTGAACTATTTTTCTGTATCTGCCTTACCGACGGAGAAATTTGGGTGAGTCCCGTAAAATGGCCCACCGTGTATATATACACACACACACACACATATATATACATATACTATGTATGTACATGCATATATACCATGGGTGCGTTTAAACTATACAGTAATAAAAACTATACAGTGAAACTATACAATATACATTACGTGCGCTATAGATTTTCAGCATTGGCAGAATGTCGGACGCACCCCATATTTATTTATAGTCATTTTGAATTGCGCGCCGAAACTTTTATCGGATTTTAAAACGCAGCTAAACTATTGAAATAATATCACAAATAAATTTTGATGCTCAATAAGCTATTAAAGAAATCTTAATATGCTGGAAATCTGTAAATAAATTTATTTATTGTGAAAAATATTATCTTCGCCGGGAGTCGAACTCGGATCTCTAGTATTTTGTGCAAGCATGCTAAGCCTTTAAATTACCAAGTCTTTGTTATATATTATATATGTATACAATGAATGTAATGAAAATGCAATGAAAATATTCTATATTATATCTTAATTTCTGATAATATAAAAAATGTATTGCTGTTTCCTCTAACTTGCAAAATTTATGTTAAACTCAACATATCTGACGTGCATCAACGAACCATTTAAACTTTTGTGTGACTGTAAAAAGATGGAATATGATAGAAATCACAAATATTAAGTAAAAAATTGATGCAAAAAATTTAACACGATATTTGAAACGATATTTATATTTGAAAACGAATTGTGGAAACATATTCTTAAATAAAATCGAAATTTACAATTTGTTAATTAACCACACAAAGTGATAAATTCTGATTTTAATGAATTTTGCATATATATAGATTACATAAAAAGATAAATTTAGAAAATGTCCGTTATGGTGGAAAAACGGTTTGAAAGAGTGAAATCACCTTTTATGTAAAACGGTTTTCAGTTTTTTCCGTTATGTTTCGAAACCTATTCGAGATATCAAAAAATGTTTTATATAAAAGCTTTATAAAAAAATTATCTCTATGTTCATTTACATCAATAATATTTTTAATAAACAATTTTTTTAATTAAAAAAAATTTTCTTTTATTTTTCAAAAATATTATTGACGTGGATAAATAGAAGTAATTTTATTGTAAAAGTTTTATATAAAATATTTTTTGATATTTTAAATAATTTTTAAGATACAACGAAAAAAGCAAAAACTAGAGTTATTTTCGATTGATTTCACTCCTTCAAAACCATTTTTCCGTCTCAATTAATATTTTCTTAGTTCATTCTTTTATGTAACCTATAAGCATATAAAGTTTCAATAAAATCAGAATTTAACACTTCGTGTAGTTTCCTTGTAAGTTAACATACTCATTTTATATCTTTATCTCAAAATTTACGTTTTAAAACCACATTACTGTTATTTATCTGCGATGTTATTCCATATGTATGTGCCAAAAACATTTAATGATCAGACACGTAAGCTTTCGAAGCAGTTGCAACATCAAGTTGACTCATTCGAAGATTGGAATAGGCGTTACTTCTCTCACAACTCTAAGTAGTGCAATAAACTGTCCATTCATAACAATGTATTGCGTGACTTCGTGAAGTAATCATGCTGATCCACAAGTGTGCGGCAGGAAGCGCCGAATTGAAAAAGCAGGACGATTGCAGTTTACAATCGAACACATTGCTTTAATCTAAATTATTGCAACTGAGTATTATAATTAGATATATATTAGTCATCTACACGGAAGATGGAAACAAGTTTGCAAAATTAAACATTTGGTATATTTTCAAACATTTCATTACATAGCTACGTTTGAATATTATAATACACATGAAGAATATTATGCGCAAAGTTTGACTTCTTAAAATATAAATTCAATTCGATATTGTTGCATTGAAAATTGTGTTAAATCATGAATATTTATTATTAGCGCATATAATATTTTTATAATATACGCTAATAATACATTTATATTATTCATAATTTTAAAATAATTTTAAATGTCATCTCTGTCTTTTACAAATGGATATTGAATTTCTGTTTTCGAAATATAGACTATCTGCTGAGAGTTTCGCGAAATGCTATATCGTCCTAAATCAAATTAATATACATCAATAAACTTGGGGAGTTTTTTTTGTTACTTTGTTGAATAATTTGATCAATCACTTAGACTAATAAATTACTTACTTAGATTAAATTTTTTAATCCTTTTCACTATATCAAGTTATTTGTTTGACTTAATTTTTATTCATTTTGAATCGAGTACAGTTCATATATAACTAAAATTACTCAACCCTGAGACATAGGTCGTTTCACCCGTTTCCCCAGAATGTTCTCTTCCCCACAGATTTTTTTATAGTGTAAAAAGAACTTTTAATGTCACTTCCACGAATCTATCTTTACACTCCTCACGCGATATTTTCTCATACATCGAATAATAAAAACCCTCGACGAACAATTACATCGACATACGCCCCTTCCAGGGTACTTTTATGATATTAGATCGTTCACCAAACTCTTCTAAGATCGGCGCAAGCGCTTCGTCATATACTGGCACGATGAATTGTCTATCCGTGACAGTGCACCATATGCTTTCGTGCAGCGATCATGTCAAATTTCAAATGCGGGCCAGAGAGCGATAGATCAAAAAAACATAACGATTACAGTTTACAATTTAATCGATGGTTTCTCAAACCAATCGGTGCGTGGCCACAAACAGATGCGTCGAGCCTAGTGTGGAAAATCTTGATATTACTACAAATTTTCATTTGTTCGAGCATAGTAGCATCCAACATGATACCGTGTTTATTATATATATTATTTGAGAAGGACAACATCACACTCAAACTGAGTGCCGTTGCGCCATTGCTTCACAGAGTTATGGGCTCGGTACATTACTGGGTGCTGCTTAAGCGCAGTGGTGATATTAGCAATTTAATACGACACATGGAAACAGATTGGTTTCTTATACAGGGGTTCGATGATCGTGAAATAATGCTGCACCATGCTAAGTTCGGTCGTTTCGTCGCTATAATCTGTGGGATAATCATGCATGGAGGTTCGATCCTGTTCAGCTTGGCAAGGTCAATGAAAACTGTAACCATCGTCGTCGGCAATGAAACTTTTACGACGCATCCGATGACGTGCCCGATTTACAACAAGATTATCGATACGAGATTTAGCCCTATAAATGAAATCGCGTTGATTCTGCAAAACCTAACAATGTTAATAATGAGTTCCTCTACTGTCGGTGGTTGCAGTTTGGCTGCTGTCTTCGCAATACATGCTTGTGGTCAATTGAATGTGTTGTACGAGTGGTTACATGAACTAGTTAAACATCAAGAGAAAGGAAATAACAAAGCTAAACGAAAACTAGCTGCTATCGTAGAACATCATCTGAGAATATTGAGGTATTTCATAAGCAGGCATTCGTTTAAAAAATGCATATTCTGTCGTGTATATAAATTATAATAAACTTCTATACAATTATACAAATTAATAATTAACCATTTATAAATAGATATCGTTACTATATAATCATTTATAAAAAGATATTGCGTTAAAATTAAGATAAAATCATTTTCTTTTTCTTATAGGTTACTAAAAGACAATCTGTTGTCAATTGTGTTTATACAAGTATAAGTTCAGTGTGTCGATGACTTACTCATTTAAAAAACTTACCATGTTACGTACATTTACACGTTTCAGTTTTATATCACAATTGGAAAGTATTATGCATAAGGCTTCTCTTGTGGAATTAACGGGATGCACGATGGTCATGTGCATGCTTGGATATTATACAATTATGGTACGATAGAAATGTAAGAAAATATTATTAAACCCATCAAAATATGATTTA